GCTCAAGAAACATTTCTTCACATCTCAAGAACATCTCAAATCTGTTGTAACACTGTAAATGACTTTACTCTAAAGTTTGATCAATTTAATGCATCCATCCTAAATCAAAGTATTAATTTCTTTTAAAACAAATCATTCTGACCACAACTTTTGAACAGTAGTGTATATCAAATAGTCTGTCTTCCAATGAAAGTGCTTGAGGTTGAATGTTTGCTCTTCAAACAGGATGTCTTTTCAATATGTGAGAGTTCAAAGTGCTGAAGTAGTCTTCAAAGCTGGAAGACTGAGCAAATTTCTTTCAGATGGCAACTTTCAGAGGCAGTCACGTGACTTTGTGTGGGTCAAAGACCTGAATCGCTCTGGTTTCCCATCCATTGTTGCTCTGGGATTAAGCAGTCAGTGCGTATTTAAATGACAGACGAAGCAGATCGCTTCGTCTGAGGAAGGGAGTTGTTCCTTGCTGTAAAGTCTTCACTCTCGTTTTCTATACAGTTCCAGTACCCCCTCCATTTCACTCTTTCCTTTCGTCTCAGGGAGTGCAGGCGCATGTCAAGCGATTGTTGAATTGAAATATTGATGTAGAATATCAAAGCATGGGGTATAGCTCCTGTGTTTCCTGAACTAACCAAAAACTGCTTTGATCACAGGCTCCTGTGATCTGACTTCTGAAGTTGTTAAGAGTACTGAAAAACAAAATGCAAACAAACTTCAAGTGCCCCTAGTAATGATAAAAGTTTCTCTGACAAGTAGATTTTTGCCCTTCTTTTTTTTCTTTTCACACACCAATGATGGAATTCCATCTCACAGAAATGCAAATGGACAATTGCTGAAAAGATTTCGTACACGTGCATACATTTTATGACAATTTCTTTCATTCGCAGTGGCTTATGTTAATAAAAACTTTCAACATCTTTTTAGCTTTCTCAATCTTTTTAAGTACATTAAACTATACTTTTAAATGTAAAGACAAAGTTATATTCAAAGTGTTACCGTTAACCCTTGACCAGCTGGTAATGCACTGTCGAAAAATAAAAATACTTCTGACATTTTCTGGTTAATCAGATTTTCATATTCAGAACCCCTATTTAAGTTCCTTGACTACAATATGACTATGTATACAATATGCCTCAAGAATCCTTTTCATGTTTATTGTGCATTACAGTTAAAAATGCTTATTTGAGCGGTAAATGAATCAAATATTTGTGCAAACCTGTCCTAACGCTCAGCATCCTGAACGATCAACATTCCTCGACTCAGTCGTGGTCATTATGAACAGTGCTGTTCCTGATTGCTTTGATTAGTGTTTTAGCTGGAAAGATGTGGGGGACCAGCAGGTTTTTACATGCACTCTGTCTCATCCATTATACCACATTTGTCAAGCTGGGGGTTTTGAGTCATTTAGTCCATGTGGGGCTGTAAACTGGCTTTTGGAGATGGCCAACAGTACAAAAGCTTGCGGATGGCTGTTTGGGGTGCAGATGGTCAAGACAGCTGGGACAATTTAGGGATCTGAGACTCTTAAACTGCCCTCCAGACATGCTAAAAAACAGCTTGACAACATGCCTGCCATTGTTTGGGTCATTTTATGAGGACATTGATCTTTGAATGAATGGATTTTGCATTTATGATGGAGAAAAGTAAGACTCCTGCTGTCTGGATCAATAGTAAATTTGTAAAATTAGATTGTAGAATTAAAAATCTAAATGCTATAAGAATTATTCTCTGTGGTAAAATTATTTTTGACATTTAAAAAGGACAAAATTAATCTTGCTAAATTACCATTTACAACCACTATTTTGAATAATATTTAAAAATAAAATATTATAAATGTTGTGGGGAGAAAATATTAGCTATTAAATACTTATACACTATTCACTACATGTTGTCCATATGGACAGTACTGTGCAAATGTCATTTTGACCCCCCAAAAAAATGGTTTTAAGCCAGCTATTTATATTTTGTAGGAAGAAACATTAGTTTACATTTCCAAACATTAATTTGACCATTAATTGTAATAATCCAGTGAGATTTTTGGAGTCTGACAACAGCCGGTATGAACTCACCATCATCGAGTCGATATTTGGTAACACCACCCTTTGAGATTAAAAGAGACGTTTCAGTTGTAATAATCTAAAAATCTCATTAGATTATGATAATTAATGGCAAAATGAATGTTTGGAGATGTATTTCCTATTGACACACTAAAGCAAAATATATAAACTGGTGTGAAAAAACTAGCGTGCCTAAGACTTTTGCACAAGTACACACACACAAATATACAATATTCAGAATATTATATAAATATTAAATAACAACTAAATTCATGAAGTAATCTCAGATTAAGTTATAAATAATTATATCAGTAAATTAGCAAGGTATATAAATCCCATGCACATCCCATTTTTGTCCTTTTTAAAAAATTCAAACCATAATTTAAAATCATTTCATTTCAGTTCAAGCCATATAAATGAGGGAGCCCAAATGAATGCCTAAAAAGGCTGCAGTACAAGCGACTGTGCTCAGGACACCTAACAGCAGCCGAAACCTCTGTTAAAGGCAGTTCTCCTGATTGCCTGCCATCTCTACAGCTGCCTAATGAAGGCTGGGATCTGTGCTTGCTTTGGAAATGAGTTTTCCCTTGAAAACGGCATAAGCCGTATCCAGGTCTATTTAAATGAGGTAACATGGGGAAGGTAAGCACAACCACTGGAGCATTGTTTGCACAGTTCAAAGTGAGGAGAGCGTACTTTGCACTTCAAAGACACTCATCTGGGAGGCAGTGAGAGGAGTGGGGGTGGGTGGGGGGAAGGAGGGGGGGGTTTAGGGGACAGGAAATAAGAATCTGGGTAATTAACAACTTCTGCTCCGTAATAAAGCAAGCAAAAGGAGGCGGAAGCAGCCTCCCCTATGTAAAGTGACCAAATATTTGATGTGTTATACCTCCATCCTCTACCTGTTCCCCCTGTTTTGACTGTAATTCTGTTTTATTAGTATTACACCCCTTAATTGCCCCCCATACAGTGAAGGGATGTGTTACTGCTTATTATGTTATGTTTAAAATTCAGTCTCTCTAATGCGATTTTTACACAGAGCAATCATTTTGCAGGTTAATTTTGGAGAGAGGATGTTGTTGATTTGTTTATACATGTGTTTTATTTATTAATGTTTTGATTTTAATGAACTCAGTCAGCAGTCAAATGATCTATCTATCTATCTATCTATCTATCTATCTATCTATCTATCTATCTATCTATCTATCTATCTATCTATCTATCTATCTATCTATCTATCTATCTATCTAATTAATTTCTCACTGAATAACATTAATGTTCTCTTCGTCTCTCTTTCAATGTGTGAATGAAACCAATAGCTCCATATGTTAACATTTAGCCTATTAATATACTATAGGCTAGTTTTTTTTTTTTTAAACATCTTCGAGATACATTTAAAACATTAAATATACTTTTTTTAAAACTTTTTTAACTCAATTGGACTGATTACAAGTGGACGCATGTACAAGTTTAGCACGTTTACGTGTTATCTTATTTCTCCATTGCTGTGGTAAATTTTAGCAGACTAAAGCAGCAATGCATCTGCTGGGACAAAGGTCGATTGTTATGCGACTGGAGGTGAGAGGCAACACAAAGCAGTGAGGATTTTCTATGTATTAAGATGTTAAATGGCTTTCCGACTTCAATGTAAATTCTCATAGAGAAAGACTCAAAGTGTTAGATGAACTTTGGATGCTCTGCATTTAATCCCTTTAAATGTGATGACGCCCTTAACTTGAACCCGGAGTGTGAAAATGTCACGCAGGGCTCTTTATTTATAATATCACTTAAGAGTGCGAGCTATGGTGCGCATGGACATTTATTTCACTTGTCTTGTTTGAAACTTTTACAAGTTGGTTTCTGATTACCTGGTGTAGATTCTTCATTGTCTTCTATTAACTGGACGACAATAGCCCAATTCGTATTCAAACATCATTCGGCGTCTTAATACGCCATTTTCCCAGAATGAACAGCTTCTATCAACAGACAGATTAACAGTTAGTGGTGCTCATCAGGAAAAAAAATATAAGATACAGTTGAGTTAATATTCATAAAATATTTTCAAAAGTTTTTAGTCACTTTAAACCGCTAAAACCGCATTAAATGCAAACATTATTTCATCATATTAGGCTAATTTAAGTAAATTGTTAGAAAAATGTCACATTTTTACAATATGTAGGCTATCATATAATTAATTTAAATTTTCCTTTCTAAATACACTCCAACTGTACTTTGCAGTCAGCTAAAATATAATATTTAAGTTTAAACTGATGTCTGGCTCTGCATGCTTGTTGCACTTGATGGAAAAAAATCAGGATGAAACTCTTAAAATAAAGTATAGAAATTAATGTAACAAGTTAAATAAATGGAAAATAGTGGCGGCATTATTGAAGTTGCTTAAATGATTGTAACAAGAAAGTGGGTTCGTTTCGTTCTTAATTAATGACAAAAGATTCAAGAACAAGTCTTAAACCTGTAAATATCAGTTACATGCAAAACAAACTTAGACTCTTCTCACCAACAACCGGTGAAGGAGAGGAACTCTCTCACGTTAACATTTGGCTAAATTAAATTAGAATAAAATGAAGGTTATAATACACACCCCTCTTTCCTAATCTCTCAAAGATTGCCCTCCCCAATATTCCCCCACCGCATCTCTCCTCCATTCACTGGCCCTCCTGGTACATACTTAAGAGACCCCGTCGAGAGGATCTTTTCCCTATAAAGAGAAGATGCGAACCGAGCGCCTTTGAAATGATCCTCAGGACTTATTGCGACAGGCCCTTCAGTCGCACTTCAAAAGGACGAGTCTTGAAAGCCGCTGCTTTTTAAAAAAGGGAGCCAGAAAACCCGCAGCAAGAGCGCGGAGTGGCCAACGACTCTTACAGCCGTTAAAGGACAGGAGTAGCAAGAGAGAATCGATGGATTATTGATGAGAACTATATCTAAACTCATGCACCGGTAACCTCACTGTGTAGCGGGGTCAATCCGAGCAGGATCTTTGCGCGCCTCCTCGCCCTCGTACCCGCGCACTCTGTCTTTGGCTCGGTTACGCACTGTGCGCCGCGCTTTTACGCAGGTGTGGATATTTTGAAGATCCAGTGCACACATGGCTGCGTTAACCTTATCCAGAGCGGACAATTTCCTGCACAATTTCTTACAGGTACTGCACTTTAATTTGTTTTATCGTGCTTTTTTTTTTTTTTTGGCACAATCACATCTCCAACTTAGAATATTTGTTTCCTGCATAACTTTACTTTTGGCTCAATTCTTTCTTTCTTTCTTTCTTTCTTTCTTTCTTTCTTTCTTTCTTTCTTTCTTTCTTTCTTTCTTTCTTTCTTAACATAAGTTTAATTGCTGCACTATTCTATTATTAAATAGAATAAAAACTCTATTTTCAGTTTTTATTATTTTTATATCATACAATTATTAGAATCATGTTTTTTTTAAATTTCATAATGATCCAAAATAATAATAAATACAAATAAGGCAGCAGCAATTAAACTTATTTTGTAATTTGATGTGCACAGTGATTCTCTATATGCAAGTATGAAGGTTGATTTAGTCACAAATTATTTGTTTTCTCCCCCTAGGATCGCACTCCCAGCTCCTCTCCAGAGAGCGGTCCTAACACCCTTTCTTTTTTGGCCACCACATGCAGTCAGGCTTGGCAGGAGGGGTCACAGCTCCCTTACGAGGGTCCCGTGGGCTCTGCTACCAGCATGTTTCAGCTCTGGAGCAATGACGTGTCCCCTAACTCCAGCTTGAGCGCTCACCAGATGACCTTTACCATGCCCAAAATGCAGTTCCCCGGCCACATGCAGCCCACCCTGGGCTCGCACGCCCATCACCACCATCACCACCACCATCACCACCACGAGCTGCCCCTCACGCCTCCGGCCGAGCCCCCTTCTGCCTACTCGTTCGAGCTGTCTCCGGTAAAGATGCTCTCCTCCCAGACGCAGGGGAACGCGGCGTACTACGCTCAGCACAACGCTGTGGGTCAGAACTTTCCCAGCTTCCTTCAAAATGCTTCAGGAAGACCTCACCTGCCCGGCGGGCACGTCGAGGACGGCCAGCAGTGGTGGAGTCTCCCTCAGACTAGCAGCGCACCCTCCAGTCACCCCTTTTCTTTGGGACGGCAGCTGGTTTTGGGCCACCAGCCTCAAATTGCTGCACTCCTGCAGGGCACCTCAAAGGGTCTGTTGAGCTCCACTCGTCGCTGTCGCAGGTGCAAATGCCCCAACTGCCAGTCCTCGGGAAACGGAGGTGCTGCTCTAGAGTTCGGGAAGAAAAGACTGCACATTTGTCACATTCCAGATTGTGGCAAAGTTTACAAAAAAACCTCTCACCTGAAGGCGCACCTGCGCTGGCACGCCGGCGAGCGTCCCTTCATCTGCAACTGGCTCTTCTGCGGGAAGAGCTTCACACGCTCAGATGAGCTCCAGAGGCATCTCCGCACGCACACCGGGGAGAAGCGCTTCGGCTGTCAGCAGTGTGGGAAAAGGTTTATGAGGAGCGATCATCTCTCCAAGCATGTGAAGACCCATCAGAGCAGGAAGAGCCGGTCCGGTCAGCCCGTTCACGGTGGGACCGATGCACTGCTAAGCAACATCAAGAGAGAGTAGAGAAGGCAAAATGCAAAAGAACTCAATATAGTATCTGGAATGAGACCAGAGACCTTACAAGGACATCTGAGGTTTTTTAACAGATATTCCAAACAGCAATAGGGACATGGGCCTGTTTCCATTTGAAAACACTGGAGCGAACGCACACGATGCTGCACCGAAACCAACCTTTGAGATTTTAAAGAGACTTTCGGTCACAGCAGAAGTTCTCTCATTGTGATAGATCTAATACAAGTGACAATTTGGTATGTCTCTGGATGCAAAGACTTCTCTTGACCAAACTTTGCCCTTGCACATTTATTTAAAGATTTTAAATCAAAAGCTACAGAAGTTTCTTTGAACAGCACAATGACAAGTATTTGTTACTTGGTGGAACTGTCATTTGTTTACATTTTGTTGTTGCTTTGTTTTAGGGGGAATTGATGCCTTATGTTGAAATCATAAATTCTAGTTGCAAAATTTGCAGAGAAACTTCGTATCAGTTGAAATCTTAATCCCTATAGTTTCAAAACACGAACCACATGTATATAATGTTTATACAGTGCACAGTTCTATGAAGACCAGCATGTGAAATATTAATAAACATGAATAACTTTGCAAATCAAAATCTTGTGGTTTGTTTTGTTCATTGCTTCTTAGCACAAAAAAATCCGTGTAATACCTTGTCAAGTTTGTTTAAACAGATGTGTGAAGTTCAGCAAATGGCTAATGTTAAATCTAACGCAGTGTGTCGAACCTCAGCGTTTAGCATTTATTCAAATGTTAATGTAATGGCATTCAGGATGCTAATTTAAGATGGCCATTGTTTCTAAGGTGTCGAGGAAGCACTTAAAGGACGGACAAATGATTGGAGAGTCTTCAGACATTTTACAGTTGTCAGTAAAGTCGGGCCATTCATGGGAACAGTGGTCTGACCTTCTCCCATCAAGTTCACAGTCATGTTGTCTCGTAATTGCCAGCGTAAATAACAGACAACAGTTACGCTCCACTGGAGCTCAATGTGAATGGACCCCCAGCTGTTTATATCCCACTGGCTGCGACAGAAGTCACTTTGATTTTACACCTTTGTGATAGTGAATGCTTAAAACCCCTCTTCCCCCATCTCTGTGTGCAAATGAGCCCTGCTCAAGAATGCCCAGAATGTGACTTAAAACAGAGACAAACGAACCAGATGTCTGCATGTGTTGACTAGATTATCTAGCCAGATCTCAGAAACCTCACTGATTTGGAGGATTGTTTTACTTCATCAGTGTGATTTTAGTACATTTTTTACCCATAACCAAACCAAAGCATTAATGACTGTGAAGGTTTTCATCGATCCAGGTCATCATAAAGTGTCTAATGGAGTTTAACCATAAGCATTCTGGTTAAACTCCACTAGAACCTGGATACCGGGTCAAAAAGTCGATTTTCGAGTCAAAAAGTGTATGTTTGTTTTCTCTTGCAGTTTAGAACACCTAGATCAAAAATAGTCTAAAAATCGAATAATTCCTGTGAATTATTTTTTTGTAATATGTCCACAGTAAAACCACACTAATAAAGGATATAAGTAAGATGTGTTAATCTTAACCGTTTTAAGGGCAAGAATATTTTTCATAATATCAGGGCAATTCGTCACGTTTAATGCGTTTTTTTAATACTCAATGTTATTATTGCCATGTTTAGTTATTATACTGGAATTTTTTGCTGAATAATAAGCCAAAATAGACTTTTTAATGGAAGGTTTCATTGTGACGACTCCATTTAGTGTGACAACATGCCCCCTCTACACTGTAAAATGTTGGTTTAATTTAAAAAAAAAATAAGTAACCTGGTTGCCTTAAAATTTTAAGTTCATTGAAATGGAAAAATTGAGTTAATACAGTACAATGAAGGAAATTCATTTAATCACCAGAAACTCAAAATATTACGTTATCTGAACTACATAAATTATCTAAGTTGATTTGACAAAAGAAAAAATGTTGTGATTACAAATCATGAAAATATTTTTTACAGTGCTTAGTAACTATCTTACAGAAACCGAAATAATCCTACTTTGAGAAATATTTACGTGACAACTAGCCCCGGTCTCCCCTATATCAGAAACACGCATCCTAAACATCATCATCACACAGCAAACTACAGAGAAAACAGCAGAGAAGGAAACATTGTGTGTTCTAAAACACCCTTGCGTTTCAAAAGGAATCGTTTTAATTTGATATAATACAATGGTTTTGTCACATAGACATGGATCATGTCCAATTCTTCCTCTACATCACTTCCTTCATCATTTAGAGGTGTTCTTCAAAATAGCATGCAACAATGTAAGATTCAAACCCACATTTGTGGAAAGGCAGTACAGGAAAGCTTTCAGTTTATACAGGGATATGTCAAATTATTGGATTTCTGCTGATTTGAATATTACGTCAAGGCAAGAGAAGGTTGTTACAATCATTTTAAGGATATTTAAGCGAATGCATCTGAAACATGCCAACAAGTGAAGCATATGAGCTTTGGTGCAGAGTTTTGAATGTGAAGTTTTAAATTGATCAGTGGAAAAAAAAGAAGACTGATTGGTTGTGTATACAGAGCTAAAGTCCTCTGGCACCCTCTCTTGGAAAGAATGTGCAATGAGCTAAATGGAGCGAAAGTGCTTTCTGATCATGCTTTAACATCAAATACCGAACACATTCCATCCCTTCTTTGGCGAGGCATCTAACATTTTATGACAAACCGTATGTTTTAGACTCGATTGCCAATCTTTTTTACTAATGATTCAGTTTGTCATTAACAAATACATTTTAAAAATAAAAATAAAACAACACAACAAAACACAATGCATTTGACCTTTAGTGAGAAAAGAGACATCTTTAACTTTTTCCTTAGTTTTTATGAGAACATTTTCCCCAAAAATAAAGCAAGTGTTTTAGATCTGAAACTGAATTACATTTTACGCTTAATAAAATGATAATAATTCATTCCTTTTCTGTAAAGGGTACTGGCACCTGCGTTTGGCACATAATGATAGAACATTTTATCTTTGGCCTTCATTAAGTTAATAACAACAACAACAATAATAATAATGTTATTATAATTATTATCATCCTCATCTAATATAATTTGGAAACCTCATTTTGTATCGAGAGACCTGCAGAGTAATCCAGGCAGTGTGCGTCAAATGAGGAGGGGGCGGCAGAAGCTAAAACGGGTCATTAAAGCACAGATAAAAAAAATATGATGCGGCATCTTCTTCTGCAATAACAAATGCTGTCCATCTTTCAGTCCTTCTCTTGAGCGAGTCCTCCTGCTCAACAAGGCAAATGCTCGTAATGTGTGATCTCTTATGTCCAACAGAGTTTATTGATCTTAGAGAATTCAAACCCCCAATCAGCGAAGAGAAAAGTCAAGCGTCCGTGTCTCCATGCACAGATCATTCCGCTACATACGGTATATACAAATTTAGCTGCATTTAGAGTCTGTTTCCCCTTAGCTCCTTCATAAGAGTTTACGCAGCCCACGAGAGCATTCAATATAGGTGGGAGAAAGACAGCTTCTGTAAAGAGGCACCGATAGTGCGAAACCTTTGAAATCCAGCGTGAGCCCCCTAAGGACTCTCTTATGTTTGTAATAATACAGTGTGTTCTCTGCAAAACACATCTGATGGAAAATGTTCAGCATGTTTGCAAGGATGAAGAATCCATCAGAATTTAGCACACAAACACACACTCAAAAACATACATACATACACGCTTGCCCAAACGCATCCTCACACCCTCAAATAAAGGTTTACTCTGGTTCCTGCTCCAGTGACCTCCCAATATAGGAATGGTTGATTCTCCTTTGAACAAAACACAACTTTAGTAAAAAGACAAAAAACAAACAACAACAACAACAACAAAAAAACCCATCAGAAATTATGTAAAACAATTAAAAAAGTCACTAGGAAATTCACGTCACGGGTTCAGGAAGACTACCACAAGTTAACAGACGTGAATAAAGTCCAGACTGTGGCATGCTCTGGTGCAAACATCAGATTCAGGGTCATTTCCATTCACAGGTCGTCCTCATCAAGCTGGGCCAAGTTACTGGGGCGCTGAAGAGTGGAGGAGGGACTAGGAACAGCCATGCGTCCCTCTCTCGATGAAGATCTGCGTCCACCCTCTCCCGAGATCTGGACAGAGTGGAGGAAAAAAGGCCATTTCAGCCACTGATGGTTTATTATTCTCAACAGCACATTATTAACATTATGATTCTATGGAAGCCTGTTTTAACCTATTGTGAACAACCATAATGTAAGATAAAGTCACATCATAAGATATAAAGTCACATTCGTGAGAAACAAAGTCGCAATTCCAAAACATAGTCACACTGTGAGATATAAAGATGCAGTTACAAAAAATAAGGTCGCAAGGATAAAAGATACAATTGCGAAATATCGTCACATCGCAAGGTATAATTCACCATTGTAAGTTAAGTTGCAATTGTGAGATATTAAGTCACCCTGTGGGATATAAAGTCACATTTATAAGAAACAAAGTTGCAATTGCGAAATATAATATAATGAGTGATCCTCGTTCACACGGATCCATGAAAACGCTGTATTATTAATGCCAGGCCAGTAGTTGACGATGTCACTTTGTAAAGAAACACTAAACGCGACTGAACACGTAATACGAATGCGAATAAAGTTGACGTTTCACAAATTCGTGGTTTTGTGGTTTACACAAAGGCAATATAACGGTATTGTTTTCAAAAACTTGAAATTTGAAACCCGTTTTCAAAACTTTACGTTTTCAGGCCCCCAAAAAGCCATTGTTGTGTAAATGAACGGCCAAAACGCATTAAACGCTTTTAGTTGAAAATGTTAATGTAAAAAAATGTATTAGTGCAACTAATACTCAGTGTAACTTATGAAGTAAAATCACTAAAAGCCTTCCTTCCGCTAGAAAAAAATAGTCCCTGACCGTGAACAGCAACAATGTTCCAATGTGTAAAATGCATGAAAGCTCAAATAAAAACAACATAGGAACTGCAGTGTTGCGCAGTGATAAATAGAATCGTTGGGTGAAGCAGTCATAGCCGTGTTATATCATGAATAAAACACAGCTATTGAACCAATCAAAATCAAGGATTGGAATTAATTTTGATAAAACTAACCGTTTTATAAATTAATAAATAAAGTTGCAATTGGGATATATAACATCAGTTACCTTTTTAACTCTCACAGGCTTTCATAGGATTCATTTTTTCCCCCACACAATTCATGTGAAATCTTCATTCATGAATATATAAAGGTTTGCGATGCGTGACAGCTAAGAAATTCTCGCCTATTCCCCAAGCAGAGAATAATGAGCTGTCACGAGCCGAGCTCGTGTCTAAAAATGGCTGAAGAGTTAATTACCACGAACACCCAAGGATATTAAGAGTAATATGTGTGTTACAGGGTTTATGACATGACTAAAATCAGCATGACTTGAATATCATAACGAGAGCTTCAGAAATGATATAATATTGTTGAACACTCCTGTCAGATCCAGAATCCTTGTTAGATATGAGAGACAGAACAGAAACTCGGAAAAGCTTTTCACACTTATTATAAACCTCAATTATGTTCGGTGTCCCTTGGTATTACCCGTCCTTGACTCGTTTCTCACCTCCAATATCAGAATAGAAATAACAATCAAAATCCTACTTTAAACCCATCCAGGTGAGAAACTCTTGTTTTTCCCTTTGCCATAATAAATATAAACTCAAGGAAATGAAATCAAGGCAGTGATTATTTTAGATTAGATGTGGTATGGTTATAAAATCAATCTAGCATGAAAAGTAGTTAGTATTAAGCACATAACCACATGGAAACTGAAGTCAAAACAGCGCTCAGTTCCAGCACCAGTCTGATCCAACAGCCTGCAAGAACAATCAGGCGTTAGATAGGGATCTGGTACTTCCTTCTGTCAACCTGTCTCCTTCCTGTTTGTAAAGTGGCCTGAGTAAAGCAGATAAACAGCTATTTCACACACAACTATTGTTGAGCTGTCATCAAAGCACATTTTGGGCTAGACGCCGCTGGAGATGGAGAGGTATGTTTTAATGGGCCATGTCTCAGAATAAGGCAAACATCAGTTAAATAGACTTCATAACCATAGGTTTGTTTGTAGTCTGATCAAAGAGGTTACAATGTCAAATGAATAATACATATTCTACACTATTTCTAGACCAGTAATATGATTAATTCAGATCTTCAGACAAAGTACCCGTCCTGTAAATAAGGCCATGTTATTGTTATTGCTTGTCGCAATACACCAGCAGAGGGAGCAACATGAACTCTTTGAACCAAATCCAAGTGAGCCTGTGTGAGCGCCGGGTACGCACAGTACCTGTGAGCCTTGCGTGCTAGAGGAACACAGTCCATTGGAGACCGCCTGGCAGTTTAGAGGTGCCTGGGAGAATGACGGCTCTTCAGAGAAGGCCAGCTGCACGTGAGTTGGAGACACCGTCTGGGAATTCAGTCTGGAGTCCACCGGACAGTGCGGGACTTGTGTTGACTGTAAACGTCAGACAGAAACAGTGGTTACAAAATCTTTCAGGTTATTTATATCCATTTAACACATACGATTGTGACCTCTCAGATGATGACAGTGGGATTAGAAAATTTAAGAGTCTTAAGAGACAGAAACAGGCCGTTCTTGTTCAGCAAGACTAACTAGAGTTATACTTATACTTGTAGTTAAATATTAATAAGAAATGTTATAATGTATACGTTATTGTAATAATATTTATAAACAATTACAGTTGGTATTCATATTTTGAATTAGCTTATATTTTTATATTTCAACATAATTTTAGGTAATTTTGTGCTTTAGTAATTTGTCCTAGTTAAAATTAACATTTCAAAATACATTTTTAATGTATTTTACATTTTGTATTATTTCCGTTATACATTTGTATACATCAACTTAAACCTATTTCAGTAAGTTGCCAAGGCAATCTAATATTTCTATTTTAATTTGATTTTAATTAACATTAATTGTTTTTTTTAAAACTTGTATTTTTAGTTGACGATAACAAACACTGTCTCTCAGTCAATACATGTGTTTGAGTTTGACAAATCTCAATTAACATCTACTATGGACCAGAAGAACCATTTTGTTCTTTTGATTGAAAAGTATGTTTGAGTATGTAGTAAGTCAAAGTCAAGAGAAAACCAGTAAAAACTGTGCAAGCATGCATATAAAAATCCACCGAAAATAGTACACTTAGGTATATTGTGATATGGGATGCATTAATCATCAAGCATCGCGTTAGTTTAGGCAGGCCACGTCAACTAAGCTGTTCCTGACATGAACCAATCCAGTGTCGACATCTATCACAGCGGCCTATTTAAATTCCCATTCCTTCATCACTTCCTCCATATAGCCTCACTGCTCGCATTCAAACTCCCTCCTCCAACCCCAACTCCACCCAACTGAATCTTTAATCAATCTGACTTGTTATTTAGTTTTTTCATACAGGTAACTACATTGCAAGCATTTTCTATCATGTATTTGTATTTCCACAACTCATGTAATTGAGAATTTTAACTATGTATACATATACAGTGCTGGTTCTGTTCTGTACCCCAGGGGGGTTTGACTTGCTGCTCTCCCCGCTCTGTTATAAATCGAGAAATAACCACTAGCCGGGACTTGAACTTGGGTCACTTGAAGCCAACCGTCCTACATTTGGTTCAAGTAAACCTCAGATGACTGAAATCTCTTACCTCTGGCTGTGAGTGGTCATCAGTGGGGACCTGGCTGGGCAGGTAGAGAGAGGGCAATGATGTGTTACAGGAGCGCAGGCAGGGCAGTTTGTGTCGGTCGATAGATGCTGAGGAATGAGGCCTTAGACCAACCACTGCTGACAGAGGAGGCTTCATGCTACGACCCAAACTGTTGCTCTTGCTCTCCCTTCTCTGGTACTCAATGGGTGACTGCAGGGCTGAAACACACAATACAAAACTGATAGAGTAGCCATATTTAATTTGCCAAACAATAACAAGGCAGTTAAAATGACTTCCTAGTTCATGTTCAGAGTCAGATTTTCCTTTTTTTACACTGGAAATTCGTGAAGTTGTATTTTCAACGATTTGACATTCAACATTTGAAACTAAGGAAGACTTTTTGACATATTGAACAGACTGTTCTTCAATTTTTGTGTCTATTTTTAAGTCATTTAAATATGGAAGGTACTTTGACTATGGTTTATTACTTTCAGTAACTGTTGAGGACTATAATAAAGTGTAAAATGAGCACTGAGTTTAGATATCACTTAAATGTTCATCCATGAATGGTTTGAACATCAGTCTAAAACAGCTTCTGAGGTTGGGGCTGAGCTGAAATCAGTAGGGTGTATGATGTTCACTTTGTGAGTCTCACCATTGAGAAAATTGCGTTGGGACTCCAGTATTTGACTCACGTCGCTGACCCAAGCCTTGCAGATGTCCTGCGATAAGGAGTGCAAGACAAATCGCACCGTGCTGCCATCAGCCCCCCGAGACGTCAGGGCAAAACGATTAGGGTCACCTTCTACACATGTCTCCAGGCCCAGACAACTTATCTGAAAGAAGAAGCTATGTTAACTCATGCAAACATGTGGAAACCTTATGTGATAATAACTTCCTCTAAAGGGGTCTAAAACTCACCTTAATGCTGTTTTTAAAAATATATCCAGGTAGAGAAAATCCCTTTTTCCTGTCTATTGGCTCACTGAAGATGACAAGCTGTTCAAATAGGAAGACCCGTCTCTCCTTAGTGCGGGAAAGGAAGCTGCTGTCCTGCTCTGTGACTGTGAACGTGTCTTGCTGGAGAAGTTTTCCTTGTGCTGTGATCTTCCCCTGAAAAAAAGAAAGAAAATGTGGTTTTAGGACAGGGATTTTCAAACCCTTTGGGACTCTCAAATATGATGATTAGCTTTCAAAAACATGAAAAGAAGTAATTATATAATATAAATATATATATATATTCTTTGAAAAACAGGAAGGTTTTTATTTGAAATAGATGATTATTACTTTTTACAATATAAAAGTCTTTACTGCCACATTTTCACTTTTGATCAGTTACATGCAAATTTTTCCTCTTGCACTCTTTTGCAGCGCCCAGTTTGAAAACCTCTGCTTTAGGGGATCAGAGTGGCTTTCAGTATTTCCACAGACGACAGCTTTAAACCACAGCCTGAGTCTGGCACCATACCTCAAAGCCTTGCAGCCGACCCACGTTCATCATGTCATTGCAGCGCTTCGGAACAAAACACATCACCTCCACTGCTTTCTGTTTGAGAGAAAGAGAGAGAGAGAAAGAGCGAGAGAGAGTGCAATGTGTGGAAACAGACCTCAAATCTGTATTAAATCATATGAGAAAGTACACCAAAGGGAAGAAAAAACATGCTGGTAGGGTCAAGGAATCACAAAATGTTCCTTGTTGGGATTATGTGTTTCTTCTGGTCTTGAGAAATAAAACTTGCATAACATTTACAGTTTCTGATGAGTGACTCATACCTCCAGCTCTTCAGTGTCCATCCCAGCCTTTGTGTAGTACTTGTGGAAATCCTGTCGCGAGACACACAGCGTGAGCTCTAGAATGTTCTACTTTTGTCTCAGGGTCTATTTGTACTTATGGTTTTTTGCGTGTAAACTAATTAAGTGCATTCTGTGCAGTAAGCTGGCAGATGCATGAACATGTATGTGGGTGATTCTACTCTTACAAAGCAGATGAGAACCTTTGAGACTTCAGTTAGATTTTACAGTACAACAGTTGCTAACATTTGACCATTATGCTTCCGTAAAAAGATCTTAATGTGATGTGACTGGTAACAGGTCTGTGGTGTTACTGTGACAAGTTTCACACCAAAGGCATCAGCATAGAAAAATGATAATTTCTTCTAAAGTAGTAATTGCCAACCGGGGCAGAATATAAAAATATACTATGGCTCAAAAGTTTGGGGACAGTTTTAACTTTTAACTTCTGTAACTTTTATTCTCCAAGGACGCATTCAATTAATTAAAAGTGAGAGTAAAGAAAATTTACTGGGGAAAAAAAACCTGGAGTAATGCTGCTGAAAATTCAGCCATGCCATCACATGAAAAAAATGAAATATATTAAAATATACAGTTATTTATAATAGTAATAATACAATATTTCACAGTATTACTGTAGTTTTTATTTCTATTACTGAAGCCTTGGTGAACATAAGAGACTATTTTCAAAAACATAAAAAAATTTAAAAGTGTTAAAACAGAAACCCCTTAAAATTGTGTTTGACTATATATTTTTTAAAATCAAATGAATCTGTATTACAATGTTGACAATAATTTGATGTTCTACTTTTACTTATCAATGTGGAATTGATTTGACACGGTCCCCAACACTCCTAATAGAATAAGCCACGAGTGCTCAAGAATGTGTGTGATGTGTGTTTGTCTGTGTGTTGCACTCGGTTTCACCTTCAGTAGCAGCTGGTACTTCATGATCCTCTGCACGGGTTTGATGAGCAGGTCATTCAGCTGCAGCCTGTGACCCAGCTGCTGTTTCAGTTCCTACACACAAACATGCACCTGATTGACTGATTCCTTATGCACAAAGAAAGAAAATCAATGATCTGCATAGCGTACAATAATACTACCCACGCTTTTTTTGCGGCATGCATACCATGTGGAAAATAAAATGCATGGAATACCCAGATGAGCTACGAGCTACCCATAATGCAATGCATTCAACTGCGATATTTAACATCTTTTTTTTTAATGTTATATGATCTGACTGCCAAAAAAATACAGCTAGACAATCAGTATCCAAACACTCTCCTTGATCCATTATCCCACAATGTCCTGCGATCTCCATCTATAAAACCTAAAGTAACCCCAGCTATCAAACCTCTAAATGCTTTGGCAAAGCACTGAGAAGAATCCATTAAGTGTCAAACTTTTCAATCAAGTCTTTCCCTATTTTGTCGGTTCCAAGAATTGATGGTTCAGTCAAGGCCTTCCTGTCCACTGAGCGATTATTACACACACAGTGCAAATGGAAAGAGAGTGAGAGAGTCTGCCTTGAGATATTTGCATAGATGGGCCCGTACGGCCAAAACAGCCCCTCGAGCTTAACCTGCGTGTCTTTGAGGACTCCACTAGAGCGTGTATACATGTGTTTGTGTGTTTGCTCTTCACATGCACTCACCTCAAAGTAGGTCTCGATGTATTCTGACACGATGTGCTCAGACTTAGGTTTGTTCTGGCAATAAACCACATACATGTGAAGCCGTCTTTCCTGCAGTTTGTGCAAACAGAGAGGACAGAGGTAATTAGCTATGTAGTTATGCAGTAAACACAAAAGTATATGCAAATTTAAGCCATATCAAAAATCTCTGAATGTCTTGGAATTATATGACAAAATATTGCAGGAAGTAGTATTTATTTGAAAGATCCACTTCTGTCCTGATTTCTTAGAGAGGAGGATCTATGGGCCAGTAAATATATGAGCTTTTTCAGATCTTTCAATCTAATGGACAAAAACAGCTTCAAACCAAACCTGGATCTAAAGCCAAAGTTTAAATCCCGTCTGGCAAGCATGCTTCCCATAATGTTTCCACATTAGGTCAGTAGGAGGAGAGTAGGCAGTCTTGAGTGGACGTTTGAACGCATTTGACCATTACATTATGAAAGCAATCTGGTCGAATGCGTTTTTCTACTACCTCGAAAGTGGTCGAAAGTGGACATGCTCAAAATGTTTTAGACCCCGTTTACACATGTATTTAGCATTGGCCACTTGTGATCTGATCACCCAAAACGCACCTTAATCGCACCTAAAATCACTTTGACACCAGCAGGTAGCAGAAAAGCCATTGCAGTTAGTTCTGAGAAAGGGATCCTTTGTTTGCAGAAACCACTTGGTTTGATATTTTGTATCTAATGTAAAGACATTTAGGTATTTAAGTAAGTTTGACTTAAGTTTCCAAAAGTGGATTTTTTACTATGTATACACTAATTAAGGTACAATTTTATGTCCAGATATCCTGTTAGTTAAAATGGTTGCCAATTAGACCAAACAGTAGATGTGACGTTATAGAAAGCATATCTTTTTTTTTTTTAAATTACATTTATTGAAGGTTGATAAATTGTCCACAGGTTTATCTAGTCAAATCATTCTTTCCTGATCTCATTAGTAAATGCAGTTAAAGAGAGACAGGAGGCAGCGGTGAACATGACAGAGGTGATTCAATAGAAACTTTCAAGCTGCTGCAAGTGTTTAAATAGTTTGAAACAGACTCTGTCTGCAGTGTAAGAGCAGTGTGCCGTTGATGGCATAGGGAGAGATTACAAAACACTGATGTAGGAGAGTGAGCAAAAGGCCATGTATAATTCAGTCCAATTATCCTCAATGTAATCAGAGCCTCATTCTCTCTCTCTCACTGCATGCAGGTAGTAGGACATTACAACTGGACACTACCTCTCTCTCACTCACTCACTCAATCACTCACACAGACTGAGTTGCCTGGAGACAGGTCGATTGGATAGATGTCAAAGCATGAATGGTTCTGACAACAGATTGTAAGAGCTTCATATGGACCATGTGACAGAACACCGCACAAATTAATTTCTTAAGTCAGCATTTGTGTCGTTTTACTATAAAAATAACAATGAACAATATTTTTTACAGCAATGTAAAAATATTTTTTGTTACAGTAACAAAAAAGTAATTCAAAAAAAATGTATGTATATATATATATATATATATATATATATATATATATATATATTTGTACTATGTTTAGTAAAATTTACTGGAAAACAGCTAACAATACTGATTCAGAAAATGACTTCAGAAAATGACTGTAATGCATGTCCATATAAGACAAAGACCAGCTAAAGGATTTTGCAACCCATCGTCTCAATTTATGTACGTTACACGTCATTGACTGGAAGTTGGGAAGTCTTGACATAACTGCAGTGTCTCACAACTTTGTAATGTACTGTATGAGTTAAAAGAGTGGGTGAGAGCAGGGGCTGAGGAAATTTGAGAGGGGTGGGGGAGGGGGAAATGGGGGTTCTTGTTTGTGAAAGGAAAAAAAGAAAGAGTGGGGGCAGGACAAAGAGTGAGCCTGGCCCTCACTCACCCTCCATTACTGTTTCTCATTACCAGACAATTTCCCACTACGCTTGTTTCATAGTTTGACTCAACCTTTAGATTTGTGTTACAAGTTTCTTTATTCCCCTCAAGCCTTTTAAAGTTACCCAAAGGACTCAGACTCATTAAACAGTAGAAAGGGCAAATGCTGGCAGACGCCAATTTGTACAGTAACTCTTGAAAGTGCTTTTCATTGAAACAAAACGCTTTGATTCACCACAGAAACTTATATCACAGCATGTGGCAGCTTTAAACAAATTACTGCTACTGTGAACTACTTCCACAACTGTAAATCTGCAAATTTTAGTTTTTCACATGTACGCCTGTGGGCGCCGGGAATTGTGTTGTTTCTTCTTGGCGAGTTATTTATGTGTGTATGTCCATAGTGTAGGACTGAACTCCAGAAATAGACACAGTGTGTGTAAAGAAGCAATGTTATCAAAGGACACAGCCGTGCTTGTTACTCCTCCTTTGTTTTTCCCGCCTCTTTTTCTCTTGTGGTGATGAACCAATGGACACACAAACAAATACTAGCTAAAATCAGCTGTATTAGTAACAGGAGGGACAGAAATAGAGTGGGATGATGGGAGGATTAATGGGGTGTTAAAGTGTGTGTGTGTGTAAAAACCTCTGTGTTTTCTCAGCTCCGTTCTCAGTGTGAGAGGAAGTTTTGCTCAATCTTGCTAGGCACAGGCTGATAGAGGAAAGCGAGAATAATAGAGACTTACATGTTTGATAAAAAGTTGGGCCAGTCGTTCAGGCTCAGCCACACATTTCTCCAGCTCACCCAGGAAATAACTGAGATCAGAACAGAGGAGAGATTAGACACACAGCTCACCATAAGTATATGGAATCTGCATGTACTAAATGACAGAGATTTTCCCCAAAAATTTGTGCAGAACATGCAAGAAATTTTTTAGAAAGTTTAGGAATATGATGAAAGTCACACAAACACAGATAAACCCACTCTTTGTGCCAGTCGTAGATCTGATGAATATTCCCAAACACTATTTTGTCTTTTCCCTTCATGTCTTCTGGAACTCCTTTAGCAACCATAGAGCCCATGTAGCCCTGCGAGAGACAGAACATGATGAACTTCCATAGCTCATGACCCATAAAAACACTTTTATTATTAAATCTAAGACATTTCAACAGAGATACAATTTCCCACTCATAAAAAAATGTAGATCATCATATTCCAAATATTTTAAATCCAGGCACCATTATTTTGATTTATACTGTGATCAGTATTACAGCTGAGAGGAATTCAGGTCAGTTCCTGTATCAAATCTAATTCTGCAGTGATTAAATGCTCTGAAATGCATTCGAATTATTCTAAGATTACAGGAAAATTGATAGCGTTCCATAACAGAGTTGATCAAATCCACATGTGATTTGTTAATTGATATTTTAACTCTCCAAAAAGAAGCTCACCTCCACAATAAGTCCTAGATCAGCTACATACAGCTTTTCTGTCTCTATCAATTCTTTCAGAACATACCTGTAGAACAGAAGAAGTCAGCTTTCATTCAAAACATTAACAATATCTGACAGCTTAAAACATGTGCTGGCAATACTGTATAGGGTGTAATATTAGCAGAGCTCTGGCTTGTGCAGAGTATTAATAATCAAGGAGCTATTTGTGGACCAGATGAAGGGCCGGTTTTATCGAAAAGGGTGAATATCCCAGCTGGAAAATCCATTTTATGCTGGTAGCTTTGTTTGGAAACATGGTAGCTTGTTTCTTTGGTCATTATTGGTCTAATGGCGTTTTCCACTACACAGTACCAGCTCGACTCCACTCGGCTCAGCTTGCCTATGTTTGGTTTTCCACTGTGTAAAAGTTGTACCTGTACCTGCTTTGGGGGTACTTTTTTAAGTATCACCTCCAGTGAGGTTCTGAGCGAGCTAAGGCCAAGGCGAGCTGAGCCGGTACTAAAATGTGACGCGAAAACAATGCCAACTGCTGATTGGTCAGAGAGAATCGTCACCATTGCGTCATCATTGCACGCGCCAGATGGAGTATCCAGAATATCCCCGCCATCCTTAAATAGTTTGGCCAGAGATAGTTTCTAAACTTAATACTATTATTATGGCAACTCTGATAAATACGCCGTGGTCAAACGAGGAGGTGCAGACTTTCCTTTGTTTGGTTGCCGAGGAGAGGATCCAGCGAGAGCGTGATAGGGCAGTGAGGAACGAAAGGCGTCGCTATGACGACCGGGTACTATTTGTGGCGGTACAGTCTGCAATGGAAAACGGAGCAAAAAGCGTGCCGAGTCGAGCTGAGCCGAGTCGAGTTGGTACTGGTAATGGAAAAGCTCCATAAGATTATCTTTACCTGGTTTAAGATAAGCTTTAGCTGTTTCATATGGTCATCAGCTGGTCTAAGTTGGTCATAAGCTCATTAAAAATGGTCATTAGCTGGTCTAAGATTATCTTTAGTTTAGCTGGTTTAAGATTATATTTAGCTAATCTAAGAAAGTCATTAGCTGGAGTAAGATTTTCTTTTGGTGCCTTAAAATGATATTTTGATGGATTACTGTTCCAAAAAACAAAAACAGTTCAACCTCGTAATGCTGACTGGAAGTTGGTTTCGAGCTGGTCTAAGACGGGCACGGTGAATCCAATTTTGTCATTAGATAGTTAATTCGATGGTTCAAGCTGGTCATGATCCTCCAACTACCATGATCCAAAAACCAGTCTGACCAACTAGAGCTGTTATGACCAGCCTGTAAGTCTACCAGCTTAAAGCAGTTAATAACCCACCTACTGGTTTAAACTGGATTTTCCACCAGGGATGATGAACATCTGATGTCTGCTCTGTTAAATATTGCAATTCTAATCTCTAAGTAATACAGCATTAAAAAGATCTAAATTAAGCATTTCTGTTACATAAGCTGTCTTAAATAGAAATTTCTTAGGGGTTACATAACTCAAGTTGCAAATGAAGGAGATTTCACACACACATGCTTTTTTCTAAGGCACTCTTCCGATCCTCTTCGCTGTCTATGGTGTCTGATGATTGGCTGGAGTTGTCATCCATCAACGCGGAGCCATTGTCGTCAGCCTGTGGACTGGTGCACTGGGTGAACTGCACACACAGAGGGGATAACTGTGAATAAGAGACGAGAAGTAATGTTGAAATGTTATTCACTTCAGGGATGGCTGCAGGGACAAAGAGGAATAATACAGAGGAGAGAGAGCAGGGTGGGAAAATAAGAGCTGTTGTAATAGCTTAGGTTGCCTAGGTGACAGGAGAGGAGCATGCTGGGTCTGCTGGCGACAGTGATTGAATGATAACAGGAATTATCAATAATCAGGATACCAGAGACGGAGTAGATACTCTACTCTGAATATCAATGCTACTGACCACATGAAGTCACCACGTTCTCAGAGAAACTCGAGTCAAATTGTTTTGGTTGTTAACGGAGCATTGTTTTAGCGGAGGATAGATGTGCAGACAGCCCTGCAAGTCGTTCAATGATTTGAGACGGAAAGAGGAAGTCTGAAGACGTCCTGCCTTTGTTAATGTGTTTATTAATCAGAGGTAAAACTAGAACATAAACTATGCTATAAATCCTCACACTTTGTCACGTCCCTTAGTTTTTTTTTGTCTTAAGCATTTCCTAAAATCGTAATTTTACACACATTTTTATTTTGGTCAGTTATTTTTTCTATTCAATAACCTTACAGCTAACCTTTGCACATTATCAGATTGTCATTAAAGGGATAGTACCAACAAAAATGACTCACCCTCTTGCTATTCTGAACCTATATGAATTTCTTTATTCTTCTGCACATAAAAAAAGTTATTATGAAGAATGTAGGTAACCAAATAGTTTTAGTGACCATTGACCTCCATTGTATGGACCAAAAAAAAGGAGGGGTGCCGTCTGCAGAACTTTACCCACTAGAAGAGTAGCGCCACGTCTTTAAAATAAGAAAACACGTATTGGTTAGGTGCCAGATATGTTATATGTTATGTTATATGACTGTGAATAATCTGTATCATAGGAGAATAGAGATCAGGGTTCTACCAAAATTCTGAATCTATTTAGAAATGTATATAATGTAACTGCAATTAAACAATAGGCTCAATATGTACAATAGGCAAACTAATATCTGCTGTGCTGAACATTTGGAATAAAAATATGCTAAACTAAAAACCGAAACAATAGCATGCATGACACAAACGAAACACATCTTATTCGTTTATTATGCTGCTGTTACAAAATTAACAAATAAATAAATAAATAGGGCTAAATAAATAAACAAACAAACGACAAACTAAAGTAAAGTTATATAGGACAAAAGCGTTTTGTGTTTATAGCCGAATAGTTATTGTGTTTGCAGATCAATGTTTAATTTGTTCAATTCTTCTATTTCACTCTAAAAAATGCTGGGTTGTTTCAACCCAAATGTGGGTCAAATATGGACAAACCCAAATGCTGGGTTAAAAATGTAATAAAAAAATTACAGTTGAAAGTGAAAGTTAAAGTTGGGTTAAAATTTTAAATTACATACATTTTAACCCAACATTTGGGTTTGTCCATATTTGACCCAGATTTGGGTTAAAACAACCCAGCATTGTTCAGAGTGTTACAGGATCTACAGAAACAATCTCAGCCTTCCAGTTGAAGAAATGTTTACACCACTGATGTTTAGTATACCAAAGTGCTGTAGCCTAGGCCTATTAAAATTATAAAAGATAAAAACAAAACAAAACCAACAATAAGCTATAAAAATGCAATAACCTATATCAAAAATATATATTTTGGTACCATTCACAATTTTTGACAGTGGAAACGGAAATAATTGCATACCGTACTGTACCGTACCGTTCAGTGGAAACTGCTAGATTGGTTAACGTCAGTCACCTGTGGAGCATCACTTTATCTTCATTCTCAGGACCCCGGTTTCTCTCTCTCTTTCTGCGTGTATTGTGAGAAAACACAATACACGCCTTCGACTATAACGTCACACATCCTCCTCAAAACACGGATTCCTATGCACAGACCTTGAGACTGATAGCAGATCTCCATCCATCTATTCTGATATCCCTTTTTGCAGTTTTTGTTTGTTTATTAGAGCTTTACAAAGCACTTCCTTTGCTTATGAGGGTGTTATTGTGTTGTGTATGAGAGAAATGTGGAAGTCTATTCAGAAACGATGCGAATTACAATGAACGGAAGTTCCTTACATCATTTGATCATTTACTCACTCTCATGTCATTCCAAATACATGTGATTTTCTGTCTTCCGTAGAAAAAAAGGAGACATTTTTAATAATGTGCTCTGGTTGCTCTTTTCCCACTCAGTTACAATGAAAAGGGACCAAAGATGTCAAGTTTAATTGAAACAATTCACTGAAAATTAAGTGATTTGAAACACTTTTATAATGCACTTGAATTTCTTGAAAGCTTTGTCAGTGCAACTGGATAAAAAAGAATGACCAGTCCACAGAAGAAAGTAAGTTAAGGGAAACATTATGTTAAGTAAATGATGACAGGGCTTTCATATTTTAATTTGACTCCATTTCACAATTAAGTATGAAGTTCCTTGAAACATCATATGTACACAACCACTCAAAACATGGGGATCTGTGCGATGTTTCTTCTTATGCCCACAGCTTCATTAGTGTGGTTAGTGCTGTTTGACCAAAAATTTATATCACTATTTTTTTTTTTTTTTAATTAAGCCGGTTTTCCATGTTTTTTTTCCATGCATAATCAGTTGTTCAAAGCATTTTCTACAGGTTGAGAGAGGAATTGCTGCAATAAATTGACTTAGGATGGTCCATTTTACTGTCATTAGTGAATATTGTAGAACAGCGCCCAGTATAACCTAAAATTGTTATTTCTTAACATTCTAATAACATTCTTATAACCAGGAAATAATGTTAAAATACGTTTATATAACGGGAGAATTTAACGTCCTAATGACATTTGAATGATGTTCATATAGCCAAGCAAGAACGTTAATACAACGTCTAAAAAACTGGACGTTTCGATTGTTCCTAGAACATTCAGAAATAATGTTTTAATAACGTTCTTAAAACCTAAAATTGTTATCTGGGGAAGAGGAGAGATTCACGATTGCACTGAACACGTTTTATGTGCAGGAATGAAATACATCGCTATGGCAGTATATTAAAAATAAATTATCATAACAAAAATATAGACCGGTTTTCAGTATGAACCGGTATACCGCCCAGCAGTGTTGTAGTTCAGCGTTACAACCTACAATTTGCTGAATGGTGTATGCCGTTAAGGCCCTTTTGGAGTATCATATTACACTGTTGTGTTGTTTTCTGGTGCGGGGTGGTGTTTGTGTGTTTTAGAGCAGTGTGATCACTCCTGCCTGGTTCGCAAGTCTACTCAGATCATTTCCAGATGTTTTTTGGCACAGCCTGCAGGAGAATCCCCCACTCTTGCACTTTCCCATTTTTATCTTCACCCAGAAGCCCGGAGTCTTTACTCGGACCTTTAATAAAAACCTGAGATCATATTGGTTGTTATTTTTCTACAGGAAATTGTTAAAGTTAGCTTGAGCAGAGGGAGGTAATCCAACCTTCGTTTTATGTGAGGGTACACGCGAACTCATGTTACGGTTATATCATCAGTGGTTCCTCGCTCAAACTGCTATGTCAGACCTACATTTGTGTGGGGAATAAAACAAGACAGCCAGTTTGATAACATATGTGGCGTTCCTCTGTCCAGGAGACAGGCCGGATCTGAGAAGCGCTTACATATTCATTCAGGAATTTTCCATTAGCCAACAAATAACAAACTCATGCTGAATCCCCACAGCAAATCTTTCTGTGTCAGGTACAAAGCGGGCTGTCAGCTGACCTTAATCAGAGACAGAAATGAATATGATATATAAACCAAAACCTTAGCCTCTCTATGGAGAGTCATAGAGTAATACATAACGTTAAAGAGCAACACCAATGCCAAGTAACTAGCCTCAATACACACTGCAGAATGTTTGTCTTGTTTTCCAGTGAAATCTATATAAGGTTAAAAAACTAGCTGCATGAGGCACTATTCATTTGTTATGGACTACGGGGTCAGTAAGTATTTTTATTTTCTTCATTTATTCAGAAAGGGCACATCAAAAGCAGCAGAAAGGACATTCATAATGTTACAGATGATTTATATTATTTATTATATTTCAAATTATATATTAACATTTAACATTAACATTAAAAAATGTTGTAAAGTTTAATAATATTTCACAATACTATTATTGTTTTTACTGTATTTTTTATAAAATAAATGCAATAATAAATGCAATTTTTGACCATAAGAGACTTTTCAAATAAATAAATAAAAAATCTTACTGACCCCCAACTTTCAAATCAAAACTTTCAAAAAAAAAAAAAAAAAATTAAATTTACTGCAACGATTGTCCTTGAAAATAATGCCTGAGGCTGTGATTAGTATCACTTACAAGTCTAGACCTGAAGCTCATGTTGTTTCTTATTATATTAAATTGATTTCCAATTATAAATCACAGTGCTTAAGATCTCAGACTCTAGCTCTTGTCGTTCTGCACCTCTGGTCATAATTACCTTTCACCACTCACCTTCAGATGAAATGATCGAATGAAATAATGAATGTTATTGCATTTAGCCATTAATCTGGATTTGTATTACCTCTTCCAGCTATTGTGATTGTTTATGTGTCTTTTGTATGCATTTGTGTGCTCTGGCTCATATAGTGTACACACACATAGAAAAAATATACAGTGGGGTCCAAAATGTCTGAGACAAACATTGAAAATCTGAGTTTTAAATTTGCAAAGAACTATAATTTTAGCACTAGAAGGAAGAGGTTAATGTTTCAATTTAATTTTTCACTTAAATTGTTATGCTGATAATATGAAGAGTTCAGATGCAAAAGCCTCTAAGTGCCATTTGAAATTTTCTTCTAAAATGACCATTTTTATCAAGCTTGTATATTTAAGTTCAGTAATTTCACTTAAATGGCAATAAAGATTACCTATTAATTGTCATTTAAGTGAAATTACATAACTTAAATATACGAGCTTGATAAAAATGATCATTTTAGAAGAAAATTTCAAATGGCATTTAGAGGCTTTTGCATCTGAACTCTTCATATTTACTACCGTTCAAACGTTTAAGGTCAATACCTCTATTCGAAGAAACACATTATATTTATCAAATGTAAATAAATGCTGTTCTTTTGAACCTTCAAGCTGTGATTTATAGTGAATTTTGAATAGCTAATAGGGGTTTTTTAGGCGCTCTGCGTCATGCCTAACAAAGGCCCTTAGCTGTTCTATATTCACTGTAAAGCACAGCTTCTTGGTTTAAAAGAACTCAACATAAGAACATAAGAAGTCTGTTTGATCAATGTGTGTTTTCACTTTTAAAGGTTCAACCTATAGAAAAGAGCCTGGCAACAAATGACCCATCAGTCAAATGACCATCTGGCCTCTCTCACACTCAGCGTGGATACTAACACATTGAACCCCTGTGAAAACTGACAAAAAGCCCCTAATACAACCTTGCACCCTCCTTTCTTGTTTTCTCTTTCCATTATTCATTCTTCCTAAGAGACTATGTACAGAAGCCTCTGCTTCAGATGACATGTCCACAGACTTTTGATGGGCGGTGTGAAGTCTGATGTTAAAAGGTTTTATTTGAGACACTTACAGCAAGGAAACAAGATCCTCTGATCACAACTACAGTGACCTCTAAAAGCATCTATACAAAGGCTGTTTACACCTGGTAATAAGATGTGTTTTGGTCGATCGGAGGGCGACACATACCAATTAACACCTGGTGTTTAAATGTCTCTTTTGTCCAGTTTTAACCACTTCTGTCCTGATTTCTTCGAGGGGAGGGTCTATGGCGAGTAAATGCATGTGGATTTTTTTTTCCAGATCTTTCGAACTAATGAACGAAATAAGCTCATGTAACATATATGAACATGACCGGAGAAAACAGAACATTTCTGCTCCGATAGCTGCGAGACCAGGCCGTTAGAAGTCAGGAATAATGACAAAACATTGGCTTGAGATCCCGGTTTGGTTTGAAGATGAAAAATCTATCAAGCACATAGTTTAAATCCTGTCTGGCTAGTGCGCTGTCCCATTATGTTTCTGCATTAGGTCAGTAGGAGGAGAGTAGGCGGTCTTTTGTGGCTGTTTACATTTGACCACGTGAAAGAAATCCGGTCTAATGTGTTTGACTAACTCTGGAAGTGGTCAAAAGTGGACAAACTCAAAACAGCGTCCACTTGTGATCCGATCTACCAAAACGGATCTTAATACCAGGTGTAAACAGGGCTTGAATTACCTATAGTTTGATTTATATCATTTTTTTATCAAATGTTGCAATTTTATATTTTACTTTATCCAACAAACTTAAAGAAAGAGCACATGCACACTTTTTTAGGTAAAACATTTGATTAAAGTACATTTAAATACATTCTGAAAAAAAAGTATTCAAAATCTGACCAAAATCTGGCAATCTGACCTACCTGTGTATGTCCTAGTGTGATGGATCCCTGTGGAGAGTCTGACTGGAAGCTGTAGGACTGCAGGTTACCAGGATCGCAGTCACCGAGAGCAGGCAGGCCATCTCTCCACTCCTGCACACACAAACACACATAAAATACTGCTTTAAAACAAACAGGAACCACAACCTTCATGGTCTTTCACAAACATCAATATTCAGGTCAAAATAGAGCTGACTCATAATTCTCTCTGTGTGACTATGGTGTGTGGTTGTGTTAGAGAGTCCTAGTAATTAAAGGTCACATCAAACAGTTCTTTCGGACAGAGGTGAACCACAGGGCTCCAGTGAACAGTTGGCCGCGCCGTTTGGTGCAATTCACACGGCATTATGAAAAACAGAGACATCTGTAGTGTGATGTATACTGATTTTTTTCGGTGAGAGGCAGTCTTTTCTTCCATATTGTGATGTATAACCGAGTGAAATGACTTATAAACAAGAAAAAATGTAGGGCGGGACTTGATTGTCTATCAGGATTGATATAGATTGTTAGATCATTGCGATTTGCTATTGCTTCCTGCCGTCGCACCAGTAGAACACGTCATCAGAGAGGAGAAGAGATGTTGCAAGACGGAGGGGAAGTTATTTTTATAATAGTTTACGAGAGCACACAATTGAAAAAATTGTGCAATGATAAATAATTTATAATAAACACTGGGATCTGCGATATATTGTCTACGATTATATTGTGATTGTTGTTTTGATGTGCAATGACATTATCGAGTATGTCCCTCACTTTGCAAAAACCAAACAAAAATATTGCCTAAAGAGTGCATACACTCTGAGCTGCATTAAACAGTCTGTGTAAATACATCTAAATGCTACTTCAGATGTAGCTTCTGTGTTTCCTCCTCATTGCAAAGACTGATTTTGATTGATTGGTAAAAGCCCTTTAGTGTCATATTATTCGAATTGAATTTTTGATTAAATGTAATAATTCGATTTAATAAATGATGCATAAGCTAAATTAAATTAGGTAAGGAAAAATAATTGCCCTTATTAAGGTAAAAATGCAAGTAAAAACTACAAATCAATTTAAACTTATTGGAAATCACTTATTTCATTATATCCCCTAATTATCACTGCAACTTTCCATAAAAAAAGTATGGCCAATTCTAATTTGACTTTAAAAACAGAATACGAAGGCTTCTTGATACGGATGATGAAAAATATCGAGTGGTTTGAGTGAAAACATCCCACATCACAACATTTTCCTCACCAGCTCTTTGTCTATGACTGGCAGGATGGTGAACTGCTCCTCTGTTGTTTGCGGGCTGCCCAGGTCTTGGCTGCTCCTGGTGGGTGGAGGCGGTGGTTTGCCATCCAGTTTGCGGACCTGCCGCTCCCCCTTTACTGTTCCGGTCGCCCCGGCGCTTAGCTTACGCACCGGATTGGTCAGCCACTTCTTCAGGGTGCTGACAGAGCGACGGGAGCCAGGGGAGTTTGGGGCCGAACTTCCCGAAGCCTGGGGCGGCAGAGAGGCCACCGAGGTGGAAATACTGCCCTCACTGCCAGCTGCTGAGTATGAGTCTGTACAAACAGAGAGAGTGAAGAGAAAGAGGGAAGAGGAATTAAGTTGGGAATAACCATCTGAGAGGACGACAGCAAGGGAAAACTAAATAAATCTGCCTTATATATAAACACACTCAATATAAACACACTATAATACTAAATATGGCCCATAGCTTAGACATTGTGAAGATTTTTTCCCATCTCAGACTTCAGCCCTGTGAGTTTCTTCAACTATGGACACTTTTGACCCTGTGGACTTTCACCAAATACACTATTGTTAAAACATTTGGGATACACCTTTTTTAAAATGTTTTTGAAAGATCTCTCTTATGCTCATCGACCCTGCTTTTATTTGATGAAAAATCATGTAAAAACAGTATTATTATTACGGTTTTGCTGTTTTCTGTTAAAATGTATTTTAAAATGTAATTTATTTCTGTGATGCAAAGCTGAATTTTCAGCATCATTACTCCAGTCTTCAGTGACACATGATCTTTCAGAAATCATTCTAATATGCTGATTTGGTGCTCAAGAAATATATATATATATTGATATTGTTGCAAATCGCTGTAAGATAGTGCCTACTTTTTCGTATTATATTCTGTTTTGTGATACCCAACAACATACAATACAATGGATAACAGTTTAAAAGTTAATTACCAACAAGCAAATTGCACAAATTCATTGAAAGTTTAACCCTGCATTCTGGCCTTTAAAGGGCACATTAGTACAGTAATATGCGCCTATAGGCAGGTGCACAACGCATGTACACTGCTTATTACACACACACACAGCAGCACACAAACATGGCAAATATTATTGCGATCTATGTTTAAAAGAATTTTTTAAAGGTGACATATTATGAAAATCAGACTTTTCCTGTGTTTAAGTGCTATAATTGGGTCCCCTGTCCATCTACCAACCCAGAAAACATACAAAGTGACAACCCAGTTACTTTGTTATGGGAAGCCTTTATCTGCAAGCATGTCAAAAAATAAGCTGATCAGATTTCACTCCCCTTCTGACGTAGGAAGGGGATAAGATTACCGCCCCTTATTCTGCACGTTTCTACCCACGGCGCCACCAATTTGGTTTATGCAAGCGACAATAGTGTAAACAGTTCTAACGCAATGGCAAAAGTTCGAGCAAAGGATGCAAACTGTTGTCGTTGGCCCCACAGACAAGCACAGAACACTATTTAGAGTCCCAGCCTCAGACAAGACAAGAGAGGAGTGGATTCCTTTTATTTTCAATGGAAATCCCCCAGAAACAGAATTTTGGACATCGGGCCTCATTTCCAAGTTAGCCTTAGTGTTATTGATCAGTGGATTTTTTTCATCCAGTCGTTCCAGTTGCATAGTTTACCCATGCTATAGCGTGAGTCACCGATAACTGCTAGCCTGCCATTAAAACAGTTTTACCCACTCCACAGTGCACTGAAAAGTGAACAGAACCGAAGCGCACTACAGTCAGAACTACCTGCACTACCTCTCTCTCTCGCCTAGGTAACTACATATCACTCAGACTGTGCTAATAAATACAGGGAACAGAGTATAACTATTGCAATGCAATGAAAGGGTAGTTTGATTTCTAACATTATTCTCTGAAACAGACATTTACATCGATAGTCTGGCGTTATAATTTATTTGCTTTTGGTGTACTGTGGAGTGGGTAAAACTGTTTTTAATGGCAGGCTAGCAGTTACCATTGACTCGCACTAGCCTAGCACCGGCGAACTATGCAACTGGAATGACTGGATGGATTTTTTTGAAAACTGTCTCCACTGATAAATAACACTAATGCTAACTTGGAAATGAGGCCCGATGTCCAAAATCCTGAACCACCCCTTTAATGTAACTCCACAACAACTACATAAATGTATCCACTAACCATTCAGAAACATCCAGGTGTAGCCTAAAAAGTGGCAACCTCTTCCTGGGTCTCTCTGTAAGGCTGCACTCCGCTACTGGTTATTTCGGAGATTTTGGAAGAACGAGATTATTCGGGTGTTTTGTTATTGTATCCGACTTTAGTGTAAAGGATCCCTCTTCTGGTGGAAATACATGCACCACAGGAAAATTCTGCTTTTTTTCATGACAATTTGCACTATATTGTCATTTCTAACACACCAAATAATACAGTTTTTCATATTCTGGTGAAAATTATGTTGTTGTTTTTTGTGCATCAACCTGTTTTGATAATGACACACTTGACTTTACTTATGATCTTTCTGTTTAAGTGCGAGTGAATCTTTAAGAAGAGCAAAGATACACTAACAGAGTGATGAATGGGTCTATCGTTTACTCAAAGACAAATTTATGGAGATGCATTAGGAATATAATATTCTAATTAGTAACCCTCTTATTTTTAATAATACATATTCATCAACAGTAAGGGTAAAAACAAAATCATGCGCATACATATGCATCTGTAGTGAGTCCATAAATGTAACAGAAATTTAGTGCAAGAACTTTTAAGTACACTGTCATTCCTGAATGCATTTGTGTGAGATAGGTGCAGACAGGCCTCGTGCCACACATCCCAGTTAGTGTTAATCACATGAGGACTACTCAAACTGGTTTAGGGCAGACTTTGAGAAGCTACACTGGTTAGCCACGCTGTCGTGTGACCCTGGAGAGCTAAATATAGACCCCGCCCCAAAGTTGAGGCTCAGGCTGAGACTGCGGTGCTGGTGTCAGAGGGACCCTGGGAAACGAACAGAGGGGGATGTGCACAGGAAGCACACTTTAATCCTCGTCCACAGGAAGGTCACCAACTTTTTTTGTTCTCTCACCACGTTGTGCCTCATGCCCCCCACTACTCTCTTCCTGACCCAGAACAGTGGCTGTCTGAGGTTATCAGCAGCAGAAAGGACAGGCTTCACATGTTTCAGTCTCTAATCTAGCCCCTGTTTGACCCCCTGATTTAGCCGAACACTGCCTGACAGGATGGCATAAACCAAACAGACACACACAGGCTATGTCAGTACGTGCTATGTACCATTGCTAAACCAGTATTTTTCTAAAAGTAATTTTGAAGTTAAGCTTTTATTTTCGCTTAATTATGACTTAGTAATCTTTTTTCTGTGAAATGTGACATTGGGTTTGTTTAGGGTCAGAATTATTGGTTTTGCTTGCAAAACTTTTCGGATGTTTAGGCCTAATGCTTAAAACTAACCGGTAGCTAACCACTTTCAAAACTAACCACTTTATTTTACAATCCTGTTCCCCATGTTCAATACAATAACTGGGCACTAACTATTGGTACTAACCCTGAACCTACCCCTAAACCTTACCTTAACCCATGTAGTTACCATATATTACCAGTACTTTCTACACTGCAAGTACATGGAAATACACGTACTGTAAAATAAGGTTCAACCTAATAACTCAATAATAGACTAAAAAAAAAAGAATAAGAATGGGCATGATTTGTCTGGGGCACCCCAGGAATAAGTAACATAATGTAACAGTAGCTGTTAATATGACCTGGGGGTCTCTCAGACTCCAAACACAACACAAGGGTTAATGTAGAGGTCCAATTAATTTATTAAGCTAATGTTTTGTGTAGCAGAACCGACCCCGGATTTTTGCTGATACACAGAGAAACAACCCCTGTCGAGAACTAATCCACAAACTTTCCACTTTCATCAGGCAATAATCAGTGAAATAATGGCGCTGACCTCAACCCAAATGGAATTCAGCAGAACCTAAAGTGGAAGGATTATAACTCTTATTGCTGGCTAAACAGCAGGGCAAAGCTGCCTTCCAGATACTGTACTGCTGTGTGCTTGGATGGGGGGTCACTCTCTGTGTGAACAACATGCCAGACTGTTCCTCCTGTGAGAGGAATGGTTTCATTCCACACTCAGTATGGATCCGACAGATTAAGAAAGAGTGGCAGTTATGAAAAAGCAAAACCTAATTCATTACCCTGTTTTGTTTTTTGAGCTTGGAACTGAATGTTATCAGGAACTAAAGGCTGTTGTGTACTGGCAGCCACTGCTTAGCATATCCTCTACAAATCACCGGTGACACCCACATGAAACAATACATGATCCATCACTATATTCCACATGCAGATTAAAAATTGTGTAACATGTCATATTGCAACTAAGTAGATCTGAACGATCACTCATTAAAAGATTGAGATCTCTATTCAAACACCCGCGGAATCTTATTCCTATATGGCAGTGGTTCCCAATCCTGGTCCTGGGGACCCACAGCTTTGCATAGTTTGTATATCTCCCTCATTTAACACACCGGATTCAGATCATCATCTTGTTAAGAAAGAGCTCTGAACTGAACTGGGTGTATCAGAGAAAGGAGACATATAAAAGATGTGCAGAGCTGTGGGTCCCCAGGACCAGGACTAGGAACCACTGCTATATGGCAACGATTTTTTTTAAACATTTGACAAAATCACACCGGAAGATTCAAATCTGTGTTTGCGCTGCCACTGAGTCAGCGAGAGCAGTTGTCATGTTAGGTATGAAGCTTATTATTTTAATTGTTATAGACTGTATGTAGCTCCGCCCCTTTTCAGCATTACGTTCATTGTGTTCTGTCTTCCGGTTTGTATTTCCACAGAACGCAAGATTTATGAATGAACCGGTCTACTGACATTTGTTCTGACATTCGCTTCAAATATTACAATGCTCATAATAACTTTCATTAACTTTACAACAAGTAAATCCACTTCACCAGCTAATTACTATTCGACAGCGATGCCAAAGATTTATAAAGAGCAACCACGAAAACAGAAGCTCAATGACCAAATTCTAAAGATGGCTGCACGCTTGTTTCTAGGGTGCACTAGGTCTGTTACACGGCTCTGTGGAATACTTGATTCTGATTGGTCAATCGCACCATCCATCGGTTAGTTATTCCCCAATAACAACAGGTTTTGAAAGATTCTTCTGTACACTGTAATGGATTATAAGATAACAAACAGGTACGATTTTAAAAATGGCTTTATCTCCTAATCAATATCTCTCATTCACATAATTATTTAGTGGT